GTTACCTAATCCAGGAATGCATTCAACCACAAACAAAGCATCTGACTATCTCCTGGAGAAGGAGCCAGTACCCCTCCCCACTATGGAAATGGCCACCGCCATTGAACTAACTGGATAGCCACCTGTAGGTTAAATACTAGGAAAGCTTAGTGCCTGTTAACTATTAATGAAAGGAGAGCTCCCAGTGTTTTCGTCCTGGGTCACACTGAATCAATGACTTGGACATCCTCACTCACTGAGATCCTCACTCAGCCTGGCCACCAGCATGCCTGTACCAAAGGTCAGGTTATGGGCAGTGACACAGTCTAGCCTACAAGGTTAAGAGTCATCAGTTCAGCATCTGTGTTTTGGTCTGTCTCACTTCCACAATTTTACTAGGAGTATGTATTCTTTTTAAATCTCCAAGGCCCCTGCTTCTCAGCTGCACAAAGGGTATGATGATGCTTCAGCACAACAGGGTGGTGAACACTGAACAAATCCTTTACTTCATGAAGGCTCATAGCTTAGCTCTGGGTCCTAAGGACTACCATAGACTGAGCCCACCTAAAGCTCTTAAAAGCCACAGGCTCTCCTGACCAAGTCTTATTTCTTTTCCAACTTTTTGTTCTGTTTGACTTTCTCAAACACTACTGAAATGGCTGAAAAAAAAAACAGAGAATACGAACATCAATATATAACTTTAGTACACTAAATAATGGTTGAGGGTTCATTCATTTTGTTTTGTGTTCAAGTAGTAAAAGACAAAATGGCAGCATGAATTTCCTAAAAGCAAAAGCAGTCTCCTACCACTGTGATATCATCATCATACTTTAAAAAAGTCATCTTCGTATAATATCTGTTCCCTACTCATATTTCCCCAGTTATCTCTAAACTGTATTATACAGTATATTATACAGGGTGTCTGCCTCCAGCTCCAAGATTTAGTCAAAGTCTTACTTGTGACATTTGATTTGTTATGTTCTAAAGTTTCTTTTCATCTACAGCAGTCTTCCTGCCTTTATTGATTTATTTATTTTCTTTTTTGAAGAGTCAAGGCCAGTTGTCTTATGTAATGTCTCATTCTCTGGTTGTATCTGATCATTTATTTATGATGTTACATAGCTTATTCCTCCATCTCTAGTATTTCCTGTAAACTAGAAGTTAAGGCAGAAATGTGAAGAGATTCAACTTAAATATTTGGCATAATAATATTTGTTAAGTGAAGTTTTCAGGTAGAAGTGCCTGTGTGATCTTTCTTTATGCTCTTTGATTTTTGTCATCGCTGTTGTTAGTTTACTAAAATGACTTGCCTCCTTTCTCCTTGCCCCTTTGCCTTTCCTTTCTTTCCCTCCTCCTTCTTTCCTTCCTTGTCTTTTCCTACTTCATTAGTCTAATTGTAGATCTGTGTAAGGGCAAGTGTGGCAATGATGTCACTCTTTTCCGATTACCTTTTGATGGTGCTAAATTACTAAAACCAATAGTTAAAATAGTCCAAAAACATTGGGGGGCAAAATCCAGATAAATCCTACAAGAGAGCTCAGATGTTTCCCTGTGAATCCCAGAAGTATATATGCACATTAGATTCCTATGGAATGACAGAAAGTTGTTAACTTCCAAAGTCTACAAATACCATGATAAAAGAAATTTAACAGCTGTGTATTACTAAGGGAAGAGTATTACTCATGTCATATTGGACCAATGGTAAATATGATTTGTAAGTGGTGATAAGAGCTAATTCATCCTAGAGTTTCTTATTGGGGAAGCAGAAAAAAAGATAAAGTTATAAATTTGTCTCTGATCTCAGATGTCTGCTCCTATCAGGCTTGTGTTATTAATAAATCAGGGCTCAGTGATAGCATCAATAACCCACTTGTACAAAAGAATATTCATTAACATAAAGGTTAGCTTTATATGTGCACTTGTTTCCAGGAAAACAGAGCAGGATACCAACACTGGGGTCCAAAACCACAGCCGAACAGTTACATGTTATTCAGAAATCCAAAAAGCAAGTAGAATGAGAAAGTATTTCTATATGACGTGAGAAACTGGAAAACATGTCCGATACTGAAAAGTAAATGGCCATCATTGAGACATACTTCAGAATCACCGGCATGTTCTTTCCCAGGCGTCCATTTGTTCAGCAGCCTGCCTCACTGTCCCAGTCTGGAGGTGAATTGGCCAGGTCCTGTGCAGAATGTTCAAAAAGCATCCCCATCACTGACTGCTCCTTTGCTTTCCCCCCTTCAACTGTACAACGAAAATGCACAGCTACTGAAATGCTGGAGTGAACATGTTCTGATTGTCAAATATGCTACTGTAAACCATAAAGGGTGAGCTACCCCCCCATCCCTACCAGGGCTCCTCACATAAGAAGAGCAACTGCACTTCTTCCACACACACTCCTTTTGGAATGAAGAACACCCATTATTGTGACCCACCACCTCCAATACTTAGCCATATGTAATGAGCACCTGTGTTCTGCTAAGAGCTACCATTGAGCAACTCATCCTGGGCCTTGCCACTTTTAGTACGGAGAATTCAGCAGCAGGAGACCCACTAAATCATTCACTAGAAAGACTGGTCATTCAACCCATACTAAGCCCAGAGGAAATTATACCGTGTCTTTACCCCCAGGGACTCTGGGGAAGCCACCAGTCAGAGTTTGGAGAAATCACCAGGCACACATATCCCCCAGTGGAGTCTGAACCTAATGGGCCAGAGAATGCGCCTGGAAGGAGACCATGCTGGAGTCTGATTTAAAGATGGCATCCCTCATTTGTGGTAGCTAGAATGTGCCTATAAATCTGTGAGTAAACACACTGGGTGGTAAGCAAGTGGTTACACGTGAATTAACTGAAGTATAGTAGACTCTGTGGACACCTCAAATAGTATAATTCTTTAGAAAGACTAAGTCAAAGCCCAACAAAATAAATACCAGGAAATGGGTACTTGAAAGAGGTGGGGTGAGGCCAAGGAGAGAGGGGTAGACAAGTGAGGGAAGAAAGCAGTCTAGAATTCATTGTATATACCACAAAGTAGAGAAAAGAGAAGTTAAGCGAAAGGGAGGGTGGAAGGGGGGGGTTGAAGGATGGCACAGATCAAGATGCATTGTGCACATACACTGCCTTGTTAAATGGCAAAACAAATTCAATACACATATCCAAAGACGTTTTTTGAGAGTAAAAAGAGGGGTAGGCTAGGAGGGGTGGGTGAGGATGATGACAGGAGCCACATTGATTAAGAGGTACTGCAGAGCATCTCCTTTGTACAGCTACTTAAAGATAATCAAAAATAGCAGAGAGATATCTGTGGACTCTAGCCCACCTTTTTGCTAGTTATTTTAGAGCTACTTTTCTGCCCTACGCTAGCTGTGGACCTCAGTCCTCCAGATCTCAGTCTCCCGAGTAGCTAGGATGACAGACATGAGCTACAGACACCCGGCTGCATCTCTTACTCTGGAAAAACTCTTCTACCTCTTTTTTCTTTTTAGATCTTTTGTGACTGACATTTGGAGTAGCAACTGGCTACTTTTCAGAATGTCCAGACTGCTTTTCAGTCTGCCTGATACGACCTTATCTTTAGACTCAGGGTACGGAATTTTGGCCCGCTAAGTGGCGTGTCTTTCTTGGCAAATCATATCAGGAGATATAGAATAGCAATCCTTTTTTTTAAAAAAAAAAAAAGAATAGCAATCCTTTGTGAGGGTCAAAAACTACCATGTTTCTTCCCTCTAAAACTCTCAGTTTTTCCTTTGTAATTAATAAGTAAATAGTAGGTGGTACGTTAAGATTATGTAAATATCTTCAGTAGATGCTCTGATGTGGCATGCATCTGTATGAGTTTCCTAGAGCTGTTGTAACAAAATACCACAACCTAGGAGGCTTAAAATGACAGGAATGCCTCATAGCCCTGGAAGGGGATGCTGAAATCGAGGTGTCTGCAGGGAGGGTCCCTTCTGAGGCCTGTGAGCAGAGGATCCACTCTAAGACTCTCTCCCTAACCATCTTCTTCCTGTGTCTATTCATGCCATCTTCCCTCTATGCATGATTCTCTATCCACATTTCCTCTTTTCATAACGATGTCAATGATACTGAATTAGGGTCACCCTAGTGGCCTCCCCTTCACATCTTTATCTTTATAAAGACCTAATCTCAAAAGAAGGTCCCATGCTGAGGTCCTACTCATCAGTACTTCAAGAACACAAATTTGTGCAGACCTAATTCAGCCCATAATCAATGCCTTTCCCTCACACCTGGCTTTGCTGGTGTCTGCATGGATAGAATAGGATATCATGACTGGACTGCATGAATCTAGATACTCATTATGGAGCCAAAATGGTATTGACTCCCTCTCCCAACCCTCCCTGCAGGTAAGAAGTCAGTGCTGAGCCTGAAAACTCCCAGGACACTAAGACTAAACTTCCCCCTGTCTCCATTCTTCAGGATGGGCAGTTTCCACTTGTCTGTGCTTAGAAGGACTTTCTCTCTTGGTACTGGAGATCTTAAAGTGGGTTTGGCTTATAGCTCACCAGCCATGCACATGCGGTGTGAAGCCTGCTCATTGTATGCGGAGGTTGTAGCAACTGACTTAGTGAGAATATGGATAACTTGCAGTGGCAAGCGGCCTGTTGGGAAAAGTGTTTTATCTGTTGGTGCATTGTTTTGGAGCATTGAGCTGACATCCAGGCAAATGAATTCTAAAGCTCATACAAAGGAGATTTGCAATAGGGACTCTCAGCAGGGGAAGTACCCAGAGCCTGGTGAGGCTCTCTTTAGTGTGTCATTCAAAGGATGGAGGGAAAACAGAGCCAATTACCTGAGCATTGCTGCCAGATGCTAGAGGAAGGTGGTGGAAAGGGAGCTTTCCTGCCCCTGCAGTCATGGGGTGCCTCTCTCTTCCAAATAATCACCCATACCCCTCCCATCCCAAGCTCTGCAACCTTCCCCTCTGTCATTTCCTTGTGTAGACACGGGCAAAGCCTGAAGCGGATGCTCACTAGATTTTCTTGGTTTCTTGATCAGGTCACAGACATAAAAGAGAAATTGAAGCTGTCTAAAAAGGTCTGGTCGGCGTTACCCTACACCATCTGCAAAGATGAGCGTGTGACAGCAGGCACGTCCAATGAGGAGGAGTGCTGGAACGGGCACAGCAAAGCCAGGTGAGGAGCTGGGTGTGCAGATGGGACCCCCGCACACTCGGTCCCACAAAGCTCGGCAGACCTGTTGATGCACAGAGCGATGGAGGGTGGCGGAACGGGGCCACATGGTTCCATGACAGCTGTGGAGAGTGGTGTGTCTGATGGGCTCTTGGAAGCACTTACTCTCAAGGCACCAGTGGGTGGGTGTGGAGCTCTTATTCTGCATGCCTCCACAATGGCTGAGGACGGGAGGAGGGAGAGAGACACCAGCTTACACCTAACCTGAGACCACAGAGTCCTTCATATTCCCTTAATGACTTTAAAGATAGCAGCACTCTTTTTAGCCAGAGTTAAATTTTCATAGTTTTTTGTGTTTGCAAGTTAAACCGGAAATGGAAATTCACCAGGCACTGGTGGCTCGCACATATAATCCTAGCCTCCTCGGAAGGCTAAGATCTGAGGATCACAGTGTGGAGCCGCTCCAGGCAAAAAAGAGTATGAGACTCTTTATCTCCAACTAATCAGCACAAAGCCTAGAGTGGAGGCATGACTCAATTGATAGAGCACCATCCTCAAGCTAAAAAGCCAATGCATGCATGCATGCACACACATGTGTGCGCGCACACACACACACACACATACACATATGCCAGAGAATTTAAATTCGACTGTAATTTTTCCCATTGGGGAAAAATAATTGAATGGTTGTTTGAAAGCTAAAGTAAGATGGTAAAGGATAACTGCGGGAGGGATCTAATGGGTCCCAAGCCTTGGGATGTCCCACTGGAACCTCCTGACAAAAGATGGCTCTGACTTCATCTTCCTGCTCTGCTGACCACTGCTGTGGCCACTTGATAAGGAATTTCCAAACGTGTTGATTCGGCTCCACCATGGGCTTGGCCTGGGCTCACAAGGGGTGGAGAAGTTGGATGGGGGAAGTGGCTGGGAGTTGGCAGGCAAGGCTGCACATGAGGAGAGGAGTCTGCCACAGCCTCTCATCAGTGGGGCTGCAAGTGAGCGCAGCAGCTGGTGAATTGGACTCAAGGAATCTTTAGGGCTTGATTAGCAGGTGGAAAAGCTAAGAGGGAGAGAGTCTGTTCTAGGGGTATCTTCCTGGGCAGCTTTGAGTCTAGGTAGCAGCTGTGATCCAAAGGGAATAAGAATGTTAAGCTGGGAAGAATGGGCAGAAGATAAGCGGGGAGGGCAGATGAGGTGCGCATTGGATATTATTTCTGACCCTTCTGCATTGCAGATTTTTCCAGCAAGGGGTGCTGATAGTATACTAATAGTACCAGGAAGAGCCTAACTGGGGGGAATCTAAGACATCCATACAGAGGGTTGTAGCCATTTCAACTTGCCCAGAATATCAATCTACAAAGCTTAGATTGTGAGAGGCTGGAAGGAACTTTGAGATATTAGCAGCGTGCCATTCAAAAATACTGGGCATTTTATAGTCCCTGGCCTTTTTGAAAGGAGACCTCTGGCCATCAAATTCAGCTAGGAATTAACAGATTTGAAGGTGTCTGTTCCCAAGGACTCTACAGAAAGACCCTGGGAAGGAGCAGATGGCCTATGAGTAAGGGGCTTGATTTCTTTTGAGCTATTCTGTGACTCATCTGTGCTTACCTTCTAGCCCAGGCTAAAATGAACACTGCTGTGAACCCTGGATCGTGACACAAGTTGTAGCATATTAGCCCACAGATGATTTCTTTCCAAAAGAAATATAAAGAATGGTTATGACTACAGATAGGAAAGACAACTAGACTCCATCAAGGAAAATGAATGGGAACATAAAGACTACTGAAGTAAGAGCTATAGAAGGTCAGGATTACTCAGCCATGCCCCTCATTATGCAAATGAGGTACAGAGGCAAGGCAGATGACTAGTCCCTGAGTCCCCAGCTAACCAAGGCAAAAGCTGGATCTTCCTTCTGCAACATCCGAGAGCTAAATACTTCCCACTCCAAACAAGGAAAATAGATTCTTGTCTATACTCTTTATTCAGTCCCTCAGTCCTACCACAGCCATAATTAAGCAGTCATTCTGTGTAGACACTAGGAGAGGCTTGTGAATTGACTGCCTTGAGAAATGCAATGGAGGTGAGACATGGAAAAGCATAGGAGCTGGAGAGAGGATGGGAGATCTGGTCACCAAGAACCAGGCAGTGCTGCTGCATTGTAGATTTAAGAATGAGTCACCACAGCAGAGAAGCATGCAATCTGTACCCTGAAATTTATCCAGAGACCAATAAGAAGCATTGGAGGATATGCAGAGAAGAAAATGACCAAGTGAATGCAACAAAGTCACGTGTAAAAATATTCTAGAACCAAACCCCACAAAGTACATCTTTTACTATGCAATAGGTATATTCTCATAAAGATGAGATGATCGAATATTGCTGGCTAGAACTATGTTCCCATTGGAAAAATACAACTTCACAGTTCCTTTTGTTTTTATTCTTCCAATGGAAAAGCAAATCTTAATATTACAACATTTTTCTCACTTAACATAGCAAATAAATCACCAATACAGATCAGTTGAATTAAATTTAACTCAAAATCCAAACAAATAATAATTTATCTAAAAAAATCACATGAGATTTTTTTTCATGTAAAGAAATTCTACTATATTATTTTGAAAGTTAAAGAAACCATTGAATAGAGCAAAGCTATTCAACAGACAATAAGTTAGAGAGGAAAAATAAGTTCTTTTATGCATATTGTACAGGAAGGTGATTGTAGCCAATAATAATTTGCTGTATATGTATTTTAAGTTAAAAGGAAGGATTTTTAAATGTTTTTACCAAAAATAAATGATAAATGTTTGAGAAGATGGTTATTGTACCCTGAATTTAACATTGCACAATGTATACTGGTATAAAAATATCATAAGACCATATAAATATGTACAATTTTATGTCAATTAAAAATAATCATCAGCTGGGCACTGGTGGCTCATGCCTGTAATCCCAGCTACTCAAGAGGCTGAGATCTGAGCATTGAGATTTGAAGAGACTCTTCTCTCTAGTTAAGCAACCTGAAAACCAGAAGTGGCTTTAAGTGGTAGAGTGCTAGCCTTCAGCAAAAAAGCTCAGGGACAGCACTCAGGCTCTGAATTCAAGCCCACGATGGACCCAAAAAAAATCATAATAAAGAAGAATGCACTTGTAATGAAACCAATGATAAAACTTTTGCACTTTTGAAGTGTAGATTTATAAGATGTCAGGCATTTTTATGAATGGAATGTTTATGAATGGTAGTGAAACAGGAACAAAAAGAAGAAACAATAGTTCTTCTTATCAATTATGTGAAGGAAAAGAAGGTGAAAGTTTATTGGTTTTAAATGTGCCCACATATGGAGTTCATGGATATGACTCACCTATTAGAATTGATGGCAGGGGAAGGGTGGGCATGGGTCTGGAATTTATAAACCAAAGCCTGTGTGCAGTACTGTCTGATAAACCACACCATTCTTCCCTTCCAGTGTTTTGTCCATCAAACTCCTCCAGACACGTTCCTCTCTTGGCACCCCATTCATGTAGCCCTTTTGTCCCAAGTATTTGCTTACGCTTCTCTTACTCCCCATATTTCTCCTGATTATTGTCTGACCTCCACACCACAGGTCTTGATTCAGAGACATACCTGTTTCTGATAATAATAATTCTCAAATCAAAATGACTCCTATAGTGACAGGTCCATTTACTCCAGTGGTTATTTCTCAAAAAAAAAAAAAACCTGTTATCAAAGTTAACGGCACCTGTGGCAAGTAGATGAAATAGAGCAGGATATACATGCTTCTGGTTGCAGAGGCAGCAGTGAGTGTCTACCACAGGCAGATCAGGATTCTGAGACAACAGAAAGTCAGGGCATACAGTTCTAGATGCTAGGCTAGCCAAATTTGGGGTACCAGCAGGGTTGAATTGCGACATGGGATGGCTTCAGGAAGAGGCGCCATTCTGAACTTGGCTCCCATCTTCCCATAGGCTCATGAGGTGGAAGGGGACCACTCTTGGCCCTTACCCTCTTTCTAAAGGCACAACAGGTTCAAATCTCATGTCCCACCTAATCTTAATCACCTCCCCAAAGTCTCCCTTCAAGTACACCATACTGGGAAATAGGGGATGAGACCATGGATCTTGGGGGCATGCGGACATTTAGTGTATAGCTGACACTACTCAGAATCATATACCATTCAGCAGAAGAGCCACTGCAGGATTTTCCTTAGTCTTCCCACCTGTGTGTGGCATCTGAGTCAGCCTGCAACACATCTGTGGTGGCCAGTGGGAAGTAAGTCTTCAGGTAGGATTTCTACAGCTCCCATTTTCCACTGACTCAACCAACTTCTCAGGTGGGAATGGGAGAAGACACCAGAACACTGTGACTCCAAGGAACTGAAAATAAAAGGAAGCTAGTAAGTAGCAGAAGAAAATCCATAACCATCCAGAAGGCCAAAGGGAAACAAATGAAAGACTCATGGCACAGGTTACAAATCTAGGCCTCCTAAGTTCCCAGGATGAACCTGGAAGGACATTTGCTGTCATCAGTCATACCTAAGAAAAGTGTGTGGGCAGCCAATAGCCAGAACGAGCTGTCTGCACAAGAGCTGGGAAGAATAATGAGGTAAGAGGCAGAAGAGCACAAGCATGGAAGGAAATAAAACTTCTATATGGTTCACGTAGACAGGGTAGACCTCCATCAGGCAGCCACCTTAGGAAAATAAAGCCTACAGGTGCATTTTCACAAAGCCTGTTTGCTAGCGGACAGGTAGATTCTTGCTTCATTTTTTTTAAGGACATGGCCAAATTAGACGATATCATCTATAACTTCCTTCAGGATTGTTTTCTTGTGATTGGGACCATTTTAGTAAGCTTGCAGGAGAGGATAGTATTGTAGGGAGTGGGAAGGGGTAGGAAGGCCCCTGGTGAGTTATCGAATAGGAGTATAATTATTTGAGAGTTTTCAGTCCTTTAAATAAGTCATTTCCAGACTCTTCTTTCATCCCACAAAACTAGTAAAATACCCA